GGGATGGGATGGGATGGATGGATGGGACAGTCCCTGCCTGGGCAACACAGAGCCCTGTGGGTAGCTGGGATGGGCTGGGGTAGCAGGGGATGGAGCATCACTGCCATGGGAACAGGAGGAAAACTTAGAACCACTTCCAGTGCTTAAAGGGGATTCTAAAAGAGAGGGAGAGTGACTTTTTACACAGGCAGGCAGTGATAGGACACCAGGGAGTGGTTTTAAATTAAAAGAAGGGAGATTAGATTCGACATTTGGAAGAAATTCCTCCCTGTGAGGGTGCTGAGGCACTGGCACAGGTTGCCCAGAGAAGCTGTGGCTGCTCCATCCCTGGGAGTGCTCAAGGTCAGGGTGGACAGGGCTTGGAGCAACTTGGGCTGGTGGAAGGTATCCCTGCCCATGGCAGGGGGTGGAACAAGTTGAGCTTTAAGGTCCATCTCAATCCAAACCATTCCATGATTTTATGACACACCTGGGTGGGAAATTCTTGGGCATTTCTGACAGTCCAAAATAACTTTGCTTTGTTTTGCGTGAAGCAAACATTGACTGTCAGGTGTCAGTTCTTGGGCATTTCTGACAGTCCAAAGTAACTTTGTGTTGTTTTGCATGAAGCAAACATTGACTGTCAGGTGTCAATAGCAGTTTCAAAAAATCCTGACTTTCTAAGGAGTGACCTGAGGCTGAAATTACCCGATTTGGGTAGTTTTGCCCCATGAAAACATCCATCCACATTTTTCAGCCCAGATGAAAGCTGTGACTGCTCCTTGCTTCAGTCTCACTTGTCACACTTCCCCTTGTCTGTTTGAAGTGACTCTGTTGTCAGATGCTTCTTCCTTCCCTACTTTGAGCCTCTTCTGTGCCCCACAGACACCAATTCTTTCTCTTTGCAGGTTCCTGTCTCAAACCAGCCAAGACTTAAGAGCAAAAAAAGTGCTTACAAGCAAATCTTTTTCTTCCCACACAACCCCTTCTGCTGCCCTGGAAGGTACCTGCTATTTCCTGAAGTGAGTTCAGACCTCCTGCACAGCATGTAAGAAACAAGGGATAAACAAGGGGATATTATGTCCCACATCTGAAAACCAACTTCACAAAAACTATGCACTAAATGCTAGATGATAATGGGGAAGGAGCTGCCAACTGCCTTAATGAATGGTGGTAAGCAAGGCTGGAAAAATAAATGATATAATAATCTCTTATTATATTCCCTTTGACATAAATGAATCTTGACCCGGAACACTAGTGCTACTTTCCAAGGGAAAACAACCACGAGGCAGTTATAATCATGAGTCAGGAGGCCAATGCAAAGTGGTTTGTGTTTTCTCTTTGTTGTTAAAGATTTTGCTTCAGCTGGTAAATTTTGTGGAAAAGATGGGAACAGGACAAGCAACTTCCAGTTAGAATTGCCAGTTCCTGCCTCTGGGTGGCTGGGAAGGAGCTGCTGAACTTCAACCCAAGTCATTGGCTTCCTGAACCCACAAGGAGCATGTGCAATGCTCTGGAAGAGTGGGAGAATCCTCAGCTCCCAAATCCCTGCTCAGCCCAGTACACCTCTGTCCATCCCTGTCTCATCTACCTGGTGCTCTCAAAGACCTCAGGTGAGGAGGCTGTAGGTTGGGTGGGGAAGCTGTGGATGAGGCTGCCATGAAAAACCTCTCTGTGCATGTCTGAGCAGAGCTTGACTTGGCTCATTCCTCCAAACAGAGTTCATGCTAAGAAGCTTCCACAGAATACATCTCTAGCATGGTGAGTTTGCTTGTGATTTGGCATCTTTTCCATTCTGCACCTTAGAAATCTTTCCTTGGCCTCTTAGTGCTTAAAACATGGAAGTTCAAAACTGTAGCTGAAGGGAAGAGAAGTCCAATGTGCCTTCAGAAGGTGTGTGGCAGAGGCATAGCCTTTATTTCAGTGTCTTTGTTGATACAAATGCAATGCATGCTTTACTACACATTATTATACAGGGGTTTTGTACTGGGATCAACAAAATGGAAATATCAAACAGAGAAAGACAGCAAAAGCCAGACTGGTTGAGAGCAGTGGTTCACCCAGTATCCTGTCTCCAGCCCTGGCTGCTATCAGATGCTGTAGATAAAAGTAAAAGAAACTGTAGAGTTGCCTGTTATGAATTAACATGCCCAGGAGAGAAGTTTCTTCCTGATCCTCATCAGTTAGTGGTTGACTTACATGCCAATGCACACACTGCCAGACATGCTCATGGATTTTTATCTCTCTATAGCAAGAAGCACGTGACAAGCTCCAGATCAGAGTCTTGGTACTTTCCCTTACAGTAAAGTCATTCTGAGGGAAGAATTTTTCTCACCACAAAAGGCTCACACAGAACAGAACTGAGAGAGGGAAAGGCAGCTCAGCTTTGCAGCTTACTACCCACAGCACCTGGAACATCCACTTTTGGGAGACTGTTTGTTTCCCAACCCCTTTTAGCACTGAAACACCTGAAGTCATTTCCCTCCTTCCTTAACAACATGTTTTCTAGACCTTCAGATTCTCTTCAAATTTTGCCAAATGTGGTGCCTAACACAAAATACAGCAACCCAGAGGAGTGTGGAAGGATTACTTCCCATGTCTTGAAGGTTAGATTCTATTTTCTACAATCTGGATGGTGTTTTTCCAACACCACATAAGGACTGAGGCCCTGAGACATTTTCCTACATTCCTTTCCATGTTTTTTCAGACTATTTCCCCAATGTCTGCCAGTGCTCAAATCCAGGATACATGAAGATGTTTTCTACTGCTGTTATAGATGGATGGTGCTGATGGATCAGCATAGAAAACAGGCTAATTAATGAGCTTTGGAATAACCAACTCCCCCCAGGCTTTGGTTTTACCTAAAGGGATCATGTTTATCCAAAGCCAAGTGCTAGCAAAAAGACAAATGCAAGATCCAGTAAAATAATGCATCAACACTACTACATGGAGTAAATTTCAGGAAAAAGGACTCAGCATGTTATTTTTCTCTTCGTTAAATGTGATGAGCTCATAAAGAAGGAGCAATTAATTAGTCAGAATGATGTGAATGACTCGTCAGACCTAATTTTAGCAGCCTAAAGTTAGCATTTCCACAACCGTCATCTCATCTCCTTCAACAACAAATGGAGAGGGATGAACATTTCCAGGATAAATGGAAATGTTTTCAACTCCCTAAAAAGCCAGAGTAAGGTGGGAAGAACTCCCCAGGGAAAACACAAGAGTTCCAGTAACCACAGAGCCTCAACCAGCAGGAAAACATTTATCATCTTTACAACTAAGGTCAGGTGAGATAAATCCCATGAACTCAGATACTTTACATTAGAATGATAATTAAACACAATGCAAATTAACTGTCATCATCAGGGGGAAAAAAAAAGCATGATGAGATATTGCTTATTAAATAATTACAGAGATATGCAGAGCATGGAACTTCCATGCCACAGTCAACTTCAAAGCATCAACTATCCTTCTATGCAAATGGAGCTGAGGATGTTGAATTTCTCTGGGAAGGAGCATTTTGACACAGTCTTTGAGGGAAACATATTTAATTTGGACAAAATCACCCTGTTTGTTCTGCAGATTGATCTTTGTCTTTGCAAAGAGGCACAAAATGCTAAAAAGAAAAGCAAAATGAAATGAAAGACGTTGTGAGAGAAAAATATTGCACAGCTCACTCTAAGCACAAGATCTTTTCCTCGAGGCTCAACGTGATGTCACTGATTTCAGACTGAAGGTCTTGTTTTGATTCCTGAGCAGTGCACATGAGCCACTTTGGCCAACCCTCCAAGCCATGTACCAAAGCCTTTCCCCAGCCCCAAGCCAGCTGATGTCCCACATCCCTCAAGCTGCTGAAGGAGTGACATTTCTGGGAATGGCTCATGACTAGGGAATGAGAAATGCTCTTCAGGATCCCACTGTGCATCCCACAGGACTAATCAGGGTGTCAGCAGGTTTCCAAAGCTACCCAGTAACACTGGGCTCAGTGATTTGTGCCAGCTCACTCCCTCCCACAAAGAACAACCCCATGGATTCACCAGTGGAACCCTGGGATGAGTTGTTAGTGAGGAATGGTTTGGTGGGATGGTGGAGTTTCAGAGCCTCCTAGAGAGACAGGGAACTGGCTTGCCAAAGAAATTAGGCAGCTTTGAACAGTCTGACCTAGAGGGCACACTGCATTGTTTTTGTTCCCTGCTGAGATCATTATCTGTCTCTGGGTATGTCCAACATTGGTCCCTACAGGGTAATAAAGTTTACAATGAGTCTGCTCAAGTGCAGTAGCTGCTAGTGAACCCAAATGCAAACTGTTGTCTCGTGCCAAGCCAATCTGTTCCTGCACCCACACTAACCAGGCTGAAGCTCCTCACAGCAGCTCAGCAGTGTTACCCTGTGGCCACACTGTCAGCAATGTCTGCAACAGAAATACTTGTGCCTATGAGTTCATTGTTTACATTCTAAAAGCTACGATGGGAGAATTTGGTGGGAGTGATTTTCATTGCAGGAAAAGCTAGATTTGGGACTCTACTGAGAGCCTGTTTAAGGTCACAGCTGCTTTGCGATAGGAAACCTCTGCAGAAGGCTGATGGGAGCTTGGCACTGGATCTTCTGGATCTTCACAACTGGTGATGAGAGCAACTGCACTAAAGGACTTTTGGTTAGTACTAAATGACTTCAGCTCCAGTGCTGATTTCTCTGCTTCTTTCTCCCTTGTCTTCTCAGCTTGGGTCCATTCTTGCTCCTTCCTCTCCAGCTGCATTGCACTGCAGTGAGGAGCATAAACCTCTGTGGTCTCTTCAAACTGTAAGCAGTCCACCTTATAGTACTTTTTCTTTACATGCAAGACATCATTAAACCTATGGCCCCAAAGAATCTCTCTGGGGACATAGGAGCTCCTTGACTGATGTGAAGTTCCTGTTGAATCACCTGTGTAGACAAAGGTCACCAAGATTTCAAAGTTGTCCTTGGCCAGAGCTTTTCGGTCTAGGCCGTACAAAGGACTCTCACTATCAATCTCATGTACAACAGTCACAGGGGTGACAAGTATGATCTGGTCATTGAGAAGCTTCAAGTCCCTGTATTCCATGGTCATTCTGCCCTCCTTGTCCTCCTTGTAGCGCAGCAGTTGAGCTCTCACAGACCCTTCCACCATATGGTTCGGGCGAAAGTCTCCGATGCGCCACATGAGGCAAAACTTCTCATCCCTTAGGCCAACCACAGCATAGTAGCTGAAACGAATGGTTTGGGCTCTTTTCCGAGCTGTGGCCATTTTAGCCAGTGCTGCTCCAATGATGAAGGTGTCAATGATGCAGCTCAACACTGACTGGAGGATGACCATGAGGATTGCCACCGAGCACTCCTCTGTGACGCAGCGGTAACCGTAACCGATGGTGGTTTGGGTTTCCAGGGAGAACAGGAATGCTCCTGTGAAGCTGTGCACGTTGGAAACACAGGGGGTTATCTCTTCATCATTGAATAAATCTCCATGGTGGATTGCTATCAGCCAGAAAACAAGTCCAAAGAACAACCAGGAGAGCACATAGGACAATGAGAATATCACGAACATGTGGCGCCACTTGATGTCCACCAGTGTGGTAAATATGTCCACTACATAGCTCTCCCATTCCCCAAAGATGTGTTTGAAGTAGACATTGCAGCTTCCATCCTTGTGGAGAAATCTCTTCTGCAATCTTTTTGGCCCCTTTTCAGGGTTTCCTTGGCAAGTGCCCCTGTAACTGACCTTGTTTCCCTGGATGCTCACAGGTCTGTAGCAACCACTCTGGTCAGTCACGTTCCTCATCTCTGCCTCGTGGCAAAAACACACTTGTGGTCCCAGGGGCTATTTGTCTTCTTTGGTCATTAGAAATCTATGAAATAAAAGAGAAAGTTTGGTTTAATTTCCTATAGCAGAACTGTGGAACACCAAATCCAAACACCTTCACTCTATGGACATCATGAGGAATTATCTGAAGAGCACAAACTCTGATATCCATTACACAGCACAGCACAAAAACTTAGGCCTGGAAATATGAGGTGGCTAGAAATTCAACTAGTTAGAAATGTCTTTATCAATTCTAATTGATTTTGAAATTAAAAAAAACATTGTGGTATCTCTTCTAATCATCTCATGAAGTAACATTCAAACCAGGACGAACTCTCCTGAACAGTCACAGCAATGACATGAACCCTCTTCAAGTTGGCCACATAATTGAGGTAGTTAATTACCTGTTTGTTGCATGTTTGTTTGTTTTCCTCCATTAGAAGAAAAACCTGGGAAAACACCTTTTTTTTGACATAAAGCTTCAGTAGCACAGGAAGTTCTAATGTCTTTTAACTAGAAAATGTATCAAACACACAACCATTCATCATTGTTTGTGTTTCATATTGCCCAGAAAAAACTGCTCATGGAAGTGACTTCACTGGGCTGGAGCTACAGAGAGAGATTTGTTCAATTTGTAGAGGTTTTTTACATTTCAAAGGCAAAAAAAAACACCTCTCTGAGGGCCTGGAAACCTTCTCTAATCCTTCCCTGAAGCAAACAAAAACATACTGAGCTGCCAAAAATATTTACATTTTGTGAAAATATTTAAGTGAAACAAACATGGGGGTGTTAGTAACCGTTGTGGAGGAGACAAATTTAGGAAGTGATGTGAACTAGGAGATTCCTCTGTCAGAGCAGAGGACAAATGGATGTTGCTGGAGATTGCAACCACAACTTGGGCAGTACAAGTGCTTGGCCATAGAGTTAGTGACTTAGAACAAGAACTTGGGTTAGAAACTGTGACCTCATCAACTGGAATCCAACCAAAAGGACTTTGCTGAAGGAATCAGTTAAAGGATGATATCCATGACTTGTAGGATACAGCACTGAGAAAGGCAAATCCTTTTCCTGCAGGTCCCCAGCTCATGCCAACACATCCCAACCCCTAAGACACAAACCACTGATCACTCACAAGTAATGGAGACACAGCAGAACCATTTTATTGCCAGATTTCCAGCTTCTCCTGATATTTCTGAGGAGAAAAAAAAAAAAAGAATATTTTGTGGAAAACTTGCCATTATTCTTTCCAAAACTGCAGGTTTTCAATGGAAAAATGACAAATACTTGTCCCATTTTTAAGCTGGTTTTGAGGTTCAGATATAGGTTTTCAATGAAGCCAACATATTCACAGAAAATGGATTTAAAACCCCAACTTTCCTAGTCTTTTCCCTCAGTCCTTCCTTCCCTTTGCCTGAGTATAAATGACTGCACACCCTGAGAGCCCTTCCAGTGTAATATATATTGGATGGACTAGATTAACAGCCCAAGAACTCTCCTCTCATCCAAGGAACCACGACAAGCATGCAGAGACACAAGTCCAAAAACACTTAAAAGCCAAACATAGTTTCCATTTCTTTTTTCTTTTCTTTTCTCTTTTTTTTTTTTTTCCAGCCCAGCAATGAATGTGACATATGGTGTCGTAGCCTCAGAATGTGGCCTTCATTAAAAAACACAACATTAATGTTTCCAAAAATACTTCTTGGAATATGCTCTTTGGAAACATTCATATGACTTGCTTTACTCCTAGCTTTAAGCAAACAGTGTAACTTGGGCTATGGAAGATGCTTGACCTAACATTTTATAAGTCATATTTAACAACAAACAATAAGTGGGAAAGTGTTGAGTTGGGTTTGGTTTTTTAAAGAGCCTCATAACGTGAGGTGTGAAAATGAAGCTAATTGTAATTAAGAGCCAATATAATCTGGAATAAAAAAACATACATAGGCTTCATCATAAGGGGAAATGGAAGGGCAGCACTGATTTCTCTGGTGATGGGTGACAAGACCTGAGGGAACAGCATGGAGCTGTGTCAGGATATTAGATTGGATATTAGGCAAAGGTTCTTCCCCCAGAGGTTGTTTGGGTACTGAACAGCTCCCCAGGGCAGTGGCCACAGCCCCAAGGCTGACAGAGCTCAAGGAGCATTTGGACAACACTCTCAGGCACAGGGTGGGATTGTTGGGGCTGTGCTGTGCAGGGGTTGGACTTCAATGATCCTTGTGTGTCCCTTTCTCCTTAGGATATTCTATGATTCTACCATTTTTCTTATTGACTAGAGTTCCTTGAAAATATTCACAAACATCCTGGGACTCTAAAAGGGACTAAACATCCTGAATCAAAGACTGTGGAGTAGATTCCTCACTCTGCTGTTGCATCAGGAAATCATCATGTTTCAAAAATGGTGTTTTGTTGGCACCATCTGGAGGTTTTGGTGGTGCTGGCAAGAATCATGGACTGTGATGAATCATGGTAAAGGCTGCTCTGATTTTATGGTTATGTGTCACCCAGAAGAAGCAGCTTTGAGAGGCATTTGGCATGAGGAACTCTGACTCTGCTTAAGGCCTCTCCTGGGTACAGGTTGTAGCAATATAGAAATGCTCCTGGATGTCTGTGATGAGTTTTTGACTGGGATAAATGAAACCATGGAGTAGGTTGGATTTTGTAAACAATCAAAACTATGTCTGAAATAAGAAAGGGAACATGATTAAGAGCTCCCTAAACCAAGAGCAAATAATCCAGTCCTGGAGCTGGAGGAAGTGAAAAAGAATGAGAGAGGAACAATGTTACAGACATATATTGCTCTCAGGATCTGAGTTCATCTTTGCTATCATGTTGAAAATGGGATTGCTCAGAGCCATTTGGCTTTGCACAGTGGAGATGTGACCCAAATGACCTAAAATCCCAAATGTGATCAAGAGGCTTTGGAAATAACCTCCTCAGCCACTCACAACCACCAAAGAAATGTTGCCCAGGAGTTTGGGTGTGCTGAAAGTAAGACAAATCAACTTTTCCAGGCAATAATAATCCTGAATCATAACTGATAACTCTTTGACACTGTCTGATGTTGCTCAGAATATTTAAGAGTATGCATCATCCATCAATGTGTCTGAATTAATTGTGACCTGCATTTTATTCATGAGGACACCATCAACCAGGCACATGATTTCCCTGCTCCAGGTGAGCTGCAGGGAGGTTGTGAAGCCACGTGTGTCTCTCTCACTCTGCTCAGCCACACTAACTTGTGCAGAACAGTCTGAAGATTCTCAGTTATTAGGAACTTCAACCCTAGAGCCATTTCAAACACCTGATTTTTCAAAATGTATTTTCCACCTCCCTAAAAAAACCACACAAATTTCATTGAAGGTCCTACTAGGTAAAGATTAACAAAGTGGGTGGAGGAGCATTAGAAAATATTCTCCACTCATAAAAGCTCATGAATCTGTTGCTGCAAATGATTCTCAGATGTGGTCAGGAAGCATTTTCACCTTTCCCTAACACTGACACATAAACCCTCCCCTTTTTGATTTGCATAGCTTTTACTTTCTGTGGGTTTTTTCCTTTATTTCTCAGCATGTTTGTACATGTCCTGAGCCTCCCTTTGCACCCTGTTCTGCTGTTCAGAGGAGGAAGTTGACTGAAATTTTCAGTGCTTTAGTTACCCATTCTTATAAATCTATTTCCCTGCCCCAAATCAAAACTGATCAGAGCTAAAACTGGAGCAGTGACACTAGGCAGGAGGACAGAGAGATACAGAGATAGAGAAAGCTCAGAGATTTCATGAGGATAAATGGTAGAGATGATTAAGACCTTTTAAAGTATATCTATTAGACTCACAGTTCAGAAAATCAGCATGTATTCTTAATTTTCTAAGCCAAGGGCAGGATCTTACTGTGTTGACTACTGAACCAGGCACAGGGAGATACAGAACTGCTGTAAAGACCTGCTGCATTCATAGGATCTACATATGGAGCCCCCAAACTGGGATTCTCTGAACATTTCACCCCAATCAGATGTGAAAGGAAGGTAAGGAAATTCCTGTCTTTCAAAGGTCATCAAGCAGTGAAGTGGCAGAAACAGGAACAAACCCAACACCTGCAAGAGGGGCCACAAAGCAAACACTGGCAGGAGAAACCCTTTTTATCATATTTATATTTGCATTTAGTTCCTCTTGAATGGAGCAGCTGTACCAGAACAACTTGAACTCTTGCCTGTCATCAACTCCCTCAGAACAGTAACTCAAAAGCCTTAAGCATCAACTTTAGCCTTTTAAAGACTTTCACTAACTGTAATTGTCAGGTTAACCTTGGTATTTTGAGTTCAGGGCTCAGAGTTTTGTCAGGATAATCCCTGTTGCACCTTAGCCTAATACCTAACAAGTTGCTGCGACATCCCTTTGATGACTCTATTTTCCCATCATGTAAACAATGGGGTGAATTTTTGTTCAATGACAACTCCAGTCAACAGTCTGTTTGTAAAACACTGAGCTGAACAATGTGAAGATCTCAGCTCCAGAATAATTCTCCTTGGAGATTAAATCAAAAAGAAAACAACTCAAAACCTCTAAAGGAAACTGGGGACTCACTCTAACCTCACACACATGAAAGTGGATGTGTGTGTCTCTCTCTCAAGTGTTGGTTTAGCAAAACCAACAGCTCTGTTTCCTTCTTCATGTTGGAAATGGGCTGAAAGGTTTCCAGTTTGAGTCGTTGTTGTGTAAGCCTGGAAGAGTTTCAACTCAGAGACCAGAAATGTGACAAGTCAAAGCCTTCTGATTGACTCAAATACTTGTTCCTTTTTTTAAAAAACCCACCACCCACAACAGCTAAATAAATCTTTTATAGGACAGCATTGAGACTCCTTCCTTCCTTCCTTCCTTCCTTCCTTC